AGAAGGACTAGGGTGAGGCTGTCAGGAGGTCATCCTGTTCATCAGCTGACAAGTCCATACTGATGATATTTAGTTTGCTAAGTTATTTGTTTAGTTTTCTCATTGTTTGATGTTAACATAAAATAAATATCTGTGCCCAGGCACTCCACATCTCTTACCCCACTCCTTAAATAATAATCTATTGTCTTTATTTTTACCATTTCATATAGCAGCAATGGCCCACAGTATGCGCTGGTTAAGACACAGTGTGAACATATAAACTACTTTCTTTAGGAAGTTGAGAATAGCAAATGCTGTAAAAGTGTATGAGTGTGCAGCTCTTCCTGCATTGTAGAAAAATAAGCATGTTATATTTGTACAAAGTGGAGAATGGATGATGTCCTTGTTGCTAATGTCCCTGATGTTGATGTCCTTGTCCCTCCTCTGCTGCTGTGCTTTGCTTATTGTCACTCTCCTCACTGACTATTTCTCCATCCACAGCCACAGTTTACTGGAAAATGAACACTTTTTCCTACTCTGAAGATGAGCACAGCTGTATTTTGTTTTGATTAATTTTCACTTACCAGTAAAATGTTTATTAAGTTCACCTCGGGATAACTTATCGGGATAAAAAAAAAAGACCTAAATGAAACTCCTAGAGACTTGCTGACCTGGATACCTTTCATACTTGTAGTAGACCCATATTGTGTTTTTGAAGCTGCCAGATCCTCTGATGGGGTCCCAGAGTTGTTCCACAAATTTACATAGGCTTCTTCTTCCTCCTCTGCCTGACATGGAAGAAAAGCTTTTTGCAGTGGTTCTCAGAGGACCGGTGAAACTGTGTTTACACACGTGTTACCTCATCCCAAGCTTTCCACACTTCATCAAGTTGAGGAGGCTTTTTGGTGCTGTCAAATATTTGCTTATGTCAGGCTTGTACTTCTTGCACCACTGTTGAGTGGAAAACAGTTCATGTAAAAAAGCGATTAAATAAAGTACCTTTGCAACATCAGACTGAATCTGAGCTGTAGACGTCACTGGACTGGCTGAGCATCTGATGTATTTTAAAACAGTCAGAGATGCAACAATGCAAACACTTATTCACCAGTTTTAAATCATGAACAAGTAAATGTCTCTTTTTGTTGCCAGTCACCGAGAAGCTGCATTCTCACAACCTAAAGCTGAGTGCCAAGCATGATAGGCACTCCCCAGGTCAGAGAAACATCATCATGTGAGGGCAGCATTAGCTTGTGTGTTGGGAGTTCTGCTCACAGCTCAAGCCACTTGGACCTAGATCAACTTGTGGGTGTAGCTAAACCCATAGAAACCCTGTGGGGTGTAGCTTTCTCAGCACTGGATCTACCAGCCACAGATATCACTGAGGGAATTACAAAATGCTCCATTATTTTATCGCACATGACAACAAATTGTGTATAAAAAGCCCTGAAGCTATGAGAACTCTTTGCCACACTTTTGTCAGTCATCTTTAATGAGGAATTAAGTGTGCATCCGGCTTCGTGCTTGCTCGCTGATCATGCAACACCCACACCCTCTCTCTGTAATGAAGCTTGAGTAAGCATAAACATCACTGTATAATTTTATGGCCTTAATAAATCAACACAGACTATTTTAGGCTCAAAGTTAAAAATCAGCTTTTCCAAAGTCTAGACGGCAACATCTGTAGAACTTTCTACAGAGACGTACTACTGGTCGGAGTTTGACGCTGAATCACTAAAAGAGACGGCCTCATTAAACCCATGTTATAATGTATGTTTTCCTATCTGAAGTCAGAAGGCAAATCTGAAAATGTCTGCAGGTCTGTTTGTGCTGAGATGTCTAATCACTGCTGCTGAAAAAGCAGAAAAAAAGAAATCATTATTTGACAACTTTATTAAGAAGACTTTCCACACAATCCTGTCAGAATGAAATTCTTCTTCGTTTTGTGACACGTTTGGAGGAAAATCAGGTCACATAACAGTTGAAATTCAAAAAGCAGATTCATATGTTGCAAGTAAAGCCCTAAACTCTTAGTAATGGTATTTATATTTTTGTCTGTTTAAATCTGTTACGTTACATAATTTTAGAGCTCTAGGGCTTATGATGTGTGCTCATTTAATCACATCTGTACATGTCGAAACAGTTAAACACAAGGAAAACAGTCAGAAAAGTCACTTACCTTGTTTAGCGACCATCTGACCCTTTCTATCTCTTGGAACTGCGGTGGTAACGGATGCATCTATGCAAACCTCTGATATTGTTCGTGTTGGCAGCCAGCTGTTTCCACAGTTTTTCACTTTTCACTGATATTTTTAGCAGAGTAGTCTTCAAATGCTGCTTTGTTCTTTTAAATAATTCAATCTGAGAAGGAATTAAGAGGGGACAGATTTATATACTGATCTGTTTACTTAAAGCTCTCTTCCTTTGAGAGTTTGAGAGATGTTGCCTTTGGTTTTCAGTCCAGTTCCTCTGTTAGTCACAAACCTCAGTCCTTTAGAATTTTGCATTGAAATATGGAGAAAGGTTAAACCCTGGGCCCCCAGCAAATGTTTAGCAAAACATGTTTACCTTGTTACTTATTCAGTTTACACCTGATTTGTTGCGACATATTTGGATGAGCTCCCAGTACATTTTGGGAGGTCAGTGAGAGGTCGTGTCATCACTGCACTAGCAGCTTTTACTGGCTGGTTGGACCACTTAAATAAATGAGCAGGGATCTTGTGGATAAAAACGTGAATGTCACATGCATTACACCATGTGTCACAGAGGCAGTTGGTCATGTCAGTGACTGCAACAACTGGGATATGCAAACTAGGAGAGAATTTACATATGAAGAAGATTAAGATTCTACAGTCGTGCTAGCAGCCCTCTGCGGCTGTACAGACATGCTAACGTGCTCATAATGAAAAAGCTAACAGGTTTTTTCAGGTAAAATCTAAGATTAGCTAATTAGCACTACACACACAAGTTGCTGCTGAAGGAAGTAATGAGCCAAATAATTTGACAAATTAAAATTAACGATACAATTTTTTTTCATTTAATTAAATAAGAAAATGGGAGAATTTTGTGGAGTCTGCTGGTATGAGTTCTCTGAGCATGTTTTACTTTTCCAGTACCCTCTTATAGAACCGATTCATGAGCTGCTTTTGTCCATACACAATATAAATAGGTGTCTAAAGAAGAACAACAGTGACAATTGAAAGTCAGATGTTTTCTCATTTATAACAGTATAAAGACTGGGAAGATTTCTTGCCAGCGCTCCATTCAAAGAATCACGGATTTCATGTTGTATTTAAGAATAGCTTAGACACAGTTGCTGGTAAAAAGTAATATTTACACATAAAAATAAATACATCTTCAAGAGTTGTATGCATATATATTTTTATGTGGTCAACTCCAAAACGTACATGCAGGGCTACATAAAATAATGCATACTCAGCACTGTCAAAGTCCTCATTGACTTTTTAGTGATGTTAACTTGTGATAATTCAGGTTTTGACACCAGACTGGCCCAACTGTGTCACAGCGAACCTCTGTCAATGCTGTTTAAAATTACTTTGTCTTTAAGTTAGATTTTTGGGGGCTTTTTTTGGTCATTACAATGAAAGATTGCTTCTTTTTTGAGTAATAAAGTCAAGTCAACATGTATCACTCCTGACCTGATCTATTTGCAGTGGGAACAATAAAGACATATACAATGCTGAGTATCTAGATAATATTGCTGTGTTGGTTAACATATATGCTTTGGTTTAATATATAAAAGCATTAAAGAGTACAGTAAATACAATCACACGTTATGATACATTTAACTAAATGTGTATATGCAGAACACCTTAACATTGCACACCAACCCCAAATCCAACATCTCATCAGCCTGCCTCGGTTTAGTGTAAGTCAGCCGAATACCAGGATTTTGTTACAGTATGTGATAGTGAATAATAATAATGTGGTGGAAAGTGGTAATCTGGAAAAGAACATGAAAAGCACACAAAACACTGGGCTTGTCAGATGTGACTGTTTTGTGTGTATTTGTCTGACTGCAGTGCCACTGTTTCCTTAATGCGACTTTTAAACATGAAATGCCCCATGACTTGTAAATAAAATACCATAATAAAATAGCTCTCAAAGGCAGTATGCTGTGGGCAGTTGTTGTGCTGAAAATCTGCAAGCCCAGTCTCCAGTGTTCGGCATGCGTACACACCACATGGGAAACAAATCTATGTATAAATGCATTGCTTGTTCGTTTCTTTTTCTGAGATTCCCTCCTACTTGATTTTCCCATCTTAGCAACTTGCAGTTTAGTGGCAGCCAGGGAGCCTGACCACTGAGCCAACTAGCCAGCACTGTTCTCAAGGATGGCTCTAAAAAGATGCACTGCAACCAAAAGTGGGGCTTGGTAAAAGTCTAAATCTACCGTCTATGTTAGTGTGAGAGAGTAGAAGACACAGAGGTGAATGATAATCATCAGCCATGCATTGAAGAGGGTTATAGGTTCTTTTAATAACGATGACAAAATATCTGTCCTTGTTGGAATTTATTCAGAGAATCCATAGATTTAAAACAGCTAACAGTGTAAATGTCATCCCATATGATGTTTCCCAGTGGCCTTCGCCTCCACGCAGAAAATGCTATAGGTCAGGCACTCAATATGGTACTAATATCTTTGAGTGTTCTTGGGAAAACCGTAAAGCACTTAATCTGTCTAAGACTTGTATATAGGCAGTAAGGAAAGGAGGCCAACACTCTTTTATGTCTCGTTTTAAAGGATTTAATATTTCTGTGCATTTAAGGTGAATCTCTTTGGGGTTGATTTGTTTGTTTAATATTATAAAAGCGCAAATACTTTAGTCATATTTTAATTAGGTTTATTTTGATGGACCTCTAGGCAGTATATCCTGCTAATAAAAATAGCTTTCTATTGAAAACAGTCACCACCTACTGTACACCACATCAGTTTTATATTAGGGCTTGGCTACTGTAGGTGAATAAAGCTGATTATTAATATACCATAATTCTCATTTTCCTCTATAATAATAATAATAATAATAATAATAGTAAGGTCTAGACCTACTATTTAAAGCGTCCTGAGATGACGTTTGCTGTGATTTGATTTACAAATAAAATTGAAACTGAAATGAAGTGATCAGTCTCCTCAGGAGTGTGGGTGGATTTCAGGTCTAGTGCAACCAAATGACCAGAGACTACCCTGTATTACAAGCCAATTTATACTTACGCATCAAAATGCAGTGCTGCCTAAGACTGTGTCCATACTGTTGGTATGTCAAAGGCCCATCTGTATCAAATGGTATTTGTTGACAGTGAAGACAACATGAAGCTGGTAAGAAGTAATTTTCTCCTCTCACCTAGTGAAACCATTACTCCTGCAAAGCTTATTTTGGTACTGCTACAGAATGCACGGCACGGCAGTCAGTAGAGTCAAACATACACAAAACCTAAAATCTGTCTAGAAGAGGCTGACAAAGCTACAACAACCCCTGGATGCACAAGTGTAAGTCAGGGAATGTTTTCAATAGGGAATTTCATAAAGATACTTTGCATATGAATCCAAAAGCAGAAGAAGTGACTTTGTGGCCTCATTAAACAGGTGGAGTTGTGTGCTCTTCATAGTGTAGGAGCACATTGATCTCTGTATCAGTATCGACTCTGCGTGCACATGTAAGTGTAAGTGTGTGTGTGTGTGTGTGTGTGTGTGTGTGTGTGTGTGTGTGTGTTCTTGTATTTCTAGCTTTGTGAGGTCTCAGGCTTTTGACAGGTGAACTCCTTCTGGGCAGGACCTGCATATTTCAAATGGCAAGGAATGATTGTTTTCAGTTGAAGGTCCTGAGTTGGAAAGAAGAAGTTCAAGAACATGTGTTTGTATGTGTTCATTTTGGGGGTGGGGGGGATTTCAAAATGCAATATTTCCATTTAGCCAAATTTGAAACTGAAATTTGAAATAAATTTTCACCCTTGATGCTTTTGTTTATATCTTGTAAAATAAAAGTGTTTGGCTCTCAGGCTGTCATTATTATAGTTTATTAGCAAATACTCAAATTTGTCATGTTAACTACCTGCGGTTTGAAATTTCCCCACCCCCCTCTCCAACTCCTCAGACTCCTGCTCCAGCTTAGTTGACCAGGAGCTCCTGGTACTGCTCAGACCGGAGGAAACGGCCGAAGGAGTCTTTCTCCATCAGGCCATAGATCCTCTTCTGGGCCAGGTCAAAGGTCACAGGGGACAGATCCACCAGGTTCCTCAGGGTCACATCCTTGGTGAAGTGGTCAATGTTCACCTGTGGTGGGAGGAAGACAGGAGCTGCTGTTAGGAACAACTACAGTGAGGATGATGATGAAAACATCACAGGGAAACATATTGATCCGCTGTATGTAGCAATATGGTGATGATGAAGAGGAAGCCGATCGTCCAGCAGCATCACAATCCCATAATTCCATTTTAGGCAAGATGAGACCCACAGTGCTAATTTAATTACTTGCTGCTTATTTTAACTAGCCATGTGTTTATTCCCAATTAAATAAAAACATAAACTGTATCCTGTCCTGTGTGTTGGAAGTTTATTCCACAGAAAAGACCCACCAGAGACCAAACATTTACATCAGCTGGTTTAAACAGTCAGTAACCAACCATGACTGAACACAAATTCTCGGAATTTTAGGTCGTGTGAAGGAAAAACAAAACAAATCCAAATCCTTGACTTAAGTACAAGTATTATAATAAAATGGGACAAAGTCCATTTTTGATTTATCACACATTCTGGTCAGTCAATAGATCACATTAATTTACTAGAAAATAAGCAAACAAACATTTTCTGTCTTTTAAATGTTTGTGTGCTCTTCATTTCTTATGTTACATCTTGATAAATGTTGTTAAGCTACTGTATCTGTAGTAGCTAGAGCCATCAGATACCAGGTCAGCAAGACGGACAATATTTCCCCCCTGTATTGCGGCAAAGTAAAAGTCAAACCCCTAACCCAAGATGGTTTTCCTTCAGTAAATGTGTTAAGCGTGTGTGGGGGCGGTTATTACCTGTGTGTGTGTTTTTGTGCTTGTGCTGTTCGCTATGTACGTGCAGAGTCTCAGTACATTCTCTGACTGTAACCTCATCTGTTTACACTCAAGCATGACTGTTTCCTCTCTGCACATTTGTTCACTGATTAGATAAAGACTCTCACTCCTTCACACCACATTATACAGACACCTAGTTTGTCCCAAACTCTTTGTATTTTATGCTTTTAATTAAAATATAAATGTATTATTGTACTCTGTCAGCAAAAGCCGATTGCCAGCAATGTAGAGAGGGCACTGTCACTGAATGTGCATGCACTGTAGAACCCTGCACAATTAAAAACAGATCTGACCTGAAATGAAACTCTACATACATTAAACTGTTTCACAGCTGTGGTTAACTGTTAGCCTACTCCCTATGTGAGTGTAATCACATAGGGAGTGAATCAGTTTCAGTAACTCTGATTTCGTATTAAAGCGAAACCTCACTGTTACACATCATTTAAGGCACAATGAACAATTCTATGTAGAGCTCAGCTTCTAAACAGGGGGAGTTATAGGAGTCCCTGACCTCTCTGGGTCCCTCAGACTGGATGAAGTCTTCATAGATCCTCCTGGCCTTGGCAGCCATCTTCACAGGGTTCTTGGTCTTCTTGAAGTCCTCACAGGCCATCCAAAACTCTATGTTCTCATCGCTGAACTCAGACTGCAGGAAGCTACGGAAAGCAGCCAGACCATCTACAGACATAAGTGGGAGGATGTTAGACACACAGATAAACAAAATATATAGGACAACAAGTGATTATTTAAGAACATTGTCATGCATTTTGTTGAGTGTTGATAATAACTTTTATAACAGGTCACACTGACAGTCTACTAGGCAGTACTGTACCACTTCAAACAAGGCTCAAATGAATGCTGTCCAATTATTGCAGAGGTTACAGAAGCACTAGTGTTGCAGCGGTATGAGATTTTTATGATATGATAACTGCCAGCTACAAACAACCCTGAGAAGAATGAAAAAAGGGTCTTTTTTATTGCAAGTGACTGTGCCAATAGAGTGAGCCGGACTGCAGCACTGAATTGACCCTAAAGAATAAACAGAGGTATAAGGATAATTAAAAAACAGCATATAAATATAACATTAATTAAAGCATGTTAGTTTGCATGTTAGCAACAGCAGTAGAGGAAGTATTCACATCCTTTACTTAGGTAAATGTACTAATATAGCACTGTGAAAATAACCTACTCTGTTACAAAACAGTTTGTTACGAACACTGTTTGAGCTTCTGTTTAGAGCACAATAAAAATATAGATGGTAAATACCAAAATAGTGTGGTTGAGGTTTTTTTAATGGTCAAATGTCAGATCAGTCCATAAAAATGTTTTCACAGATTTTTTTCCTCTTGTGATGAAGGGAAATAACCATGAGAAAACCATCTGGCTCCCAGGTGAATGTCACAAATTACTGTTTTCATTTTTATCTCTGCTTGGGCAAAGATGGACCACAAAGAATAGGCACCAGAATTCTATACTGTTACAAATTATAAAATGTACCAGCAACTTTGTCAACTAGTGAGAAGATGTGGTCCTTTATTAAAGACTTAAAATAAGTTTTTTTTTAATTTATCATGGATACAGTGAGACAGCTAAGAACACTTTTCTCCTTTTCTGTCATAATTTTCCATGCGAGGCCACTGCCTTTCACCTACTACATGTCATTACTAGATGCCATTGTGGTTCTTTACATAACAGTTCTGTTTTGTTTGAATAAAGACATTATGGAGCATTTGACGTAACAGACACCTAGGCCCAGAAGCCACCATTTTAAGAAAGACATGATGTCCAAAAATGGCTTTTACATGATTTGCAGAAATGAAGTAGTGGAAAACAAAAGGAAAAACACAGATGTTAGTAGTAGTTTACCCAAAACCTTCCGGACAAATAAGACAAACTGTTTATTTTGGGCAACATCAAGGGAGTGAAAATATTCAGAGCTTTCTATAAAACTTTACAAACTACAGTTAGTCATCATAATTAAACTAAAATTCAACTGACAAAAACAAACAACTGCCTTTTGGAAATATCACAAAGTGGGCAAAATAGACACAAAACATTTATTTGGACTAATATAAACGCACAAGTAAGGATCTAAAATAAGGTCTGACAAAAACAACCACTCATTCAACAAAGACCATTGTAATTTAATACAATGGCCATATTGTCTGAACCAGCATGTGCGGCAGATCATAAACACTCAGGTTGCTATCTGCAATCTTTAGTTCAAAAGAGAACTGAGTTGCAATCAAGCTGCAGACTTTTAGAACAAGGACCAAGTGAACTACACACACTGGCACCTATGACAAACTGTTTTTGCATCAGAGCCGCCACACCCAGCACTAAGTGTAGTCTCTTTTATGGTAAATGATTTTATAATATTTTACTTCCATGGCAACACAATCAACACAATTTCATATTAGTGTAAATTAGCTTCTGTAAGGTTTCATTAACCTCACTGCTCTTAACAAGTGTGAAAATCTGTGTAATCTTTTGAATTATGAAACAGAAAAATTCCTGTAATTAAAACAGAAGCTTGAAAGTAAGATGCATTATTCTGCAAGTACAATATTTTTCTCAGAGGCCATGTATTTTGCGTTTTTTGTGCATAATATACTGTACAGTACATTGAATTACACAGCTTTTACCTTTAAAGTGAAGGAGGAGGGGCAGCTATACATCTGAGGGGCAATAACTCAGTGAGAGTCCCATGGGAATTAACACCCGAGAAGCCATAAAGAATAATGTTAATGTAAAACCTCATGTAGACAAATAATCGTGGTACAGCAGCTTGCAGCAAATGTGCAATAAATCAGCGCTGGTGGAACCATTTATACTTCTCCTTTGGGATGTTACCATAACAATCACAACCTCTGCGGACACACTCACACACACACACACACACACACACATGCAAAAACAGGACAAACATGCATCTGTCTCCCCTAGACTGTGTTGAAGGGGGCACTTAGAAAGGGCTTTTGCCACACATGGAGCTGCACTGTATCTGTTCATCAGGAGCATCGGTATGTGGATCTGTTTTGAAGATCAGGGACATCCTATGTAGCTTATTAGCAGGAGAGTTTACATGTTCTGCCAAATACCATTCACCATTAGAGTTGATGATCAGTCCTGCTGGCTTTTGAGCCATCTGTGCACTTTGTGAGGTGAACACAGGTTGGTTCCTGGTATATGTGCTGATAGAAATGAATCTGTGTCTGAATCTATGTAATGCTTGCATTTTCTCAGTCTACACCTGCAGTTGTCTTAGTGCAACCTTCTTTCATGCATATTATGGTTTTGTAACTATTTTTACTTTAGCTAAATTCTTTTGGGGATACACATGGTGGTGACTGACTTCACCATGTAACAACAGACTGAATGTTCCCATTGCAGCTATTTGCAGTGGTCTTAATCCAAATTGGATATCGATTGAAAATCTGAGAAAAGCAACTGAAGTTTTGTAAGCTGTCATGTAGAGTAACTCAAACCGCTCAATGGAGGCTAATTTGTTTGTTGTGAGGCTATTCCTTGACATGCAATCTTTTTTTTTGAGAATACAGAATCATTTGACAACATTGGTTTTGTGGTATCTTGTCAGACCATGTAGGTGTACTGGATGTGTGCCAATAAGACAATCACAAACTTGATCACCAGCATCTTTATCATCCAGTTAAACAACCACTGCGGCCACATGCATATCCAACACAGTACAGGCTGCATTTGTTTTTATGAAACCCATATACTGCTACTGTAGGTGTACGGTACCTGATTTAACTGTCTACTAGACAGAGACCAGACCTCAGGGATGGCGTGTTTTTCCTTTGGGTATGGTTAAACTAAAGTGCCAGCTGTTACATAATGAAAACCACAGCTTTGGAAACAAGGATACTGCCTGTGGTCTTTTGTGGGGCAGGCAACAGAGCTGCAGAGTTTATGGAAGGGCTACCATAATATTATACAATTTGTTCTAAATCTTTGAGGAAATTTTGTAAAGTCAGGTTTTTGTTTAGAGTAATGTTACACTCAGATTTTCTAATGTTAGGAAAGCTCTTATACTAATAAACACCAACTGTTGTACAGAAACAAGGTGTTAGATCAGTCATTTCACACACAGGACAAAATCCATTCAGTCTGAAAAACTGTTAATTAAGACTGAAATAATGATTATACAGGGACAGCACAGTGGTGTGGTGGTTAGAGCTGTCATCTCAGAACAAGAAGGTTCCGGGTTTGAGCCCGGGCTGACCCGGGGCCTTTCTGTGCGGAGTCTGCATGTTCTCCCTGTATCTGTGTGGGTTCTCTCTGGGTACTCCGGCTTCCTCCCACAGTCCAAAGACATGCAGCTTAGGTTGACTGGAGACTCTAAATTGCCCATGTGAGTGTGGGTGGTTGTTGCTCTCTAAGTGTCGGCCATGTAATGCCACTTCTCACCCAGTGAGAGCTGAGATTGGCTCCATATACAATTAAAGCCCAAAAGTTACCCTGTAATCACGTTGTGTGGACAAAAAATCTCTTAATGCGGACACAGATCCTATTTTTGGTTAAGGGATTAGGGAGGAAGGTCTCTTATGTCTAAGGTATCTTACCTCATCATTTTGGTTAGGGGAAATCTCAGGGAATAAATAGATGCAAGTCAAGACAATGTCCCCACTGTATGTGACACAAACATGTATGTGTGTGTGATTTAGAAAAAAGAGAGGTAAACCTACAGCTGTTGTTCAGTACTTGGTCCAGACTCTCACGCCACTGAGCAGCCTCCTCAGGAGTCGGCCTGCACACAAAATACAGCAGTTCAGTCAGGTAGGTCCACTTTAAAATATGAGCTAGAACACTGCATAGTTTTACTCAGTTTGTCTTGACTTTGTACTTAGCTGTCATGCCGTGGGAAACAGTTTTTGCCTTAGGATTGAGAGTTTAATTTGGGGTGAGCCGTGGAAGTTATGTGAAGCCAGCAGTTTATTCAGCAGGTAGTTTATTCTCAGCCACTGAGACATAATTGATTTTAGTTCAGTGTGATAATGTAACTGCCAGGTGAAAATCCAGTAAAAATGAAAAAGGTTTAATTATGTGGAGAACAACAATAAGCCTCTGATAAACCCTTTTCATTTAGCTGCTCACTGACATATTGTTTCCCAGTGGAAACCAGTATTTCTGATTTCAGTATGAAAACAAGTCTATTTTTCTTCATTGTGTATTCTACATAATTTGTATGAGCCTTCAAACACAAGCTATAAACATTTATCTACAGAGGTGCTGTATGTTTCCAGTTTCAGCCTCGCAATGCCTCCTTTTATCCCAATGACGCTACGTTTTCTGGAAACCATCCCCTGATGATGAACTGCATCTGGTAAACAACGTCTTCTGGACCAGTTGTGGGATCATTTTCACACTGAGCTGAAATTCTGAGTAGTGTAAAGGGGGAGTGACTTCCTGAAAACTGGGCTGGCTTTTCTGCTTTACAGCACTGGGATGAAGAGTGGGACATTTCCACAGTAATATGCAGAATCAAATTAAATCCAGCGGATAAAATTTAATAAAAACTACATGGGCAAGAAATTCAGGAAATGCCTTTATAAACTTGTTCTGTTTTTAAGAGAATAATAAGCAATAATTGAGATGTGGGGCTTTAACAAATGGCAGGATGGTTTTACCTTCCACAGCTACATGATGTCTTACTGTTACACCAGATCCAGTCCAAAAAGTAAAGTCATGTTACCACAGTGCTGTTAAAATAAAACAAAACCTCAGTTCACTGACCGTCAAAGCTTCAGTGGAGCTGAGTTTAGGTGAAAATATTTGGCTTTTATCAAACTCATTTATGACATGTACTGTATCTGTTTTACCAGCAAAATCAACTCAAGGACTTGCTTTAAGTTTCCCTTCTAAATAAATGATAATTTCCACAATGTAAAAAAGAAAAACTAAGCAGGGTCAGGGTTAACCCTAACACCTAACTGCACACTTTCCCTTTCAAGGATGCTGCATAAGTGTATACCAACAAGAAATAAAAGTAAAGCAATTTGACATTTCATACATAATTCATCTTTAATTTAGTCTTTTCAAATAATAAAGTAAAATCAGATTCCAGGCAGAGTCTGGACAGGTGTAACGTCCTTTCATCTCCACATCTTGAACCTGTCCTGGGCTCTGCTCTGCCACTTTACCATCGGTTATCTGGTTAACACTCAGGCACATATCCCCACCTCCTCAGACATTTATCTTCCTGAGAAAAAACACTCACTTCTGTGGCTTTTCCGGCTTCTTCTCAGGGTAGGGGATGATGAGGTCAATTGCATTTTCCGGCTTCTGCAGTAAAACTCCCAATTTCAACTTGATCTCCTTAGCCCTGGACCACAGAACACAGAAGGCTTAGACATGAGACTAATAACGATGCAGCCATACTGTTTCATTCATGATCTTTGTTTCTCCACCTTAACTCTGGTATATTCTGTTTATATACAGAGATTAAGATTGTTGGTGGTCAGATTAATTAAATTTAAAACTAGAACAATCTTAGTTCCATACTAACAGTAAAAAGTAATGAAAGGGAAAATGTTGTAATATTAGAAAAAGAAAATACTAAAAATCTCATAGTAAAATTCAAGAATCTATTCAGTTATAACATTGCCATATACATTGTTTTACTCATTGTTTTGTATTTGACTTAAGAACACATTTAACACCACATTTTTTAAAAACATATACAGACCTAATGGTGCTTTTTGTTGTAGTAGTTTTATTTTGACTGTAACATTTCTCTGACTCTTGAGTAATCTGCAAATACTACTACAAAAATAAAAGCAACAAACATTCAAGCTGGTATAAAAATCGGTAAAACATAGATGTAATGCCATTTGAGGTCAAAAGGTCTGTTCACAAAGTAAAGATAAGAAGTCTTTAGCCTTTGTCAGATGGAACCTTTTGACCTAAGAAAAACACGGAGATGATGTGTGAGGTAACTGAAGCCGGTCTCACCTCTCCAGGCAGGTTTGGGGTAAGGCAGCTAATCCTTTACACATTTTCCAGTGCTTTCATACGCAATACTTCAGACAGAGTTGAGTCTTCCTGTTAGCACACTGTGAGTCTCTTTTGCTTTCTGACTCTGGCTTTCAGCTGATGGGGAGTTTTATACAGACGCCCTTTGGGCTTCAGGCCAAAAGCTAAACCAATCAGGCTGGAATGTGTAGAACACGGGCAGCCGAGGCGCCTGGCTGAGGATGGGAGGGGTTTCAGATGTCAAAGACTGTTTGTTTTGATGTTTCAATTAACCAGCAGATCCTGGATCCCAGTGTGCAGGATGCAGTCAGGACCATGAATCTTCACTGCCTGGAGATCGAAAGCTACATTTTTGTTAACACATTAACAAATGTCTTAATGCATTTTGCATTTACATTATCTAGAATCACAGTCAGTTTTATTGGCCAGGTGTGTTGAAAACACCGGGAATTAGATTCAGGCACACATCAATGGGGGCGCCTGTGCTGATTGCCTGGGTGCTGGATGTGGTTTTCCCCCAGCTTCACCTCCTGCTTCCTGTCTACTTTTTATATCCTCTTTTTTATGCTTTACCATTTTACTGCTATCTGCTACAATAGCTCAGTTTCTACAGATGCAAAGAATAACCCTGTCTTCAGTGTAGACACATGCTGGATTTACATAGGCGCACACCCAATTGTACATTAAAATAGATTTGATTATTTATTTTATTTTCTAGCTTTACTCAGAGCAGAGCTGACTAACTCTGAACCTGCTGGATATGCCATTTTAATTGAGCTTTTCTCTCCCATGCACACATTCAGTGAGTTAATGCTGGAGAAACAATCTAGTTATTTTTTTATATAAACAGCCCACAAAGCTGCTTTAAAGGGTTGTTTTTGATTTGTTACATCTATGACTAAGTCCTGGTTAAATGTATGCAATAGGGTAGAGCTTTGATACCAATGCCATTTTTTTACTGATGCAACACATTACTGAGAGAAATAAAAAAAACTAAACAAAACACATTTTCTTGTATTGACTGTACTAGACTTAACTAGACTAGAAATTAGGAGCATTTCTTAACTCACAGGTTAATACAGAAACACTATAGTTTTTTCTGTTTTGCAGAAAAGCTTGGTTTTATCTCAGTCACAGCACAGTCTTAGTCAAGACTATAGCTAAATCATTTAAGATGAATTCAGTGGTAGAGCCAGCTGAATCTATACATTGTTTGTCCATCACTGCACCCTTTGTTAACTCAACCATTCAGTTGGACCTTCCACCTACGAGATTTTTCATTCATGAACGTCAAGATACATTCATCATGTTGACTCATGTTATGAGACAATTCATCAAGAAAAACACGCAAACCAGAGTGCAGTTATTACTTTTTATTAGGACTGCTCAGTTTCTATGTTGAGCCTGTAGCTTGGCCATGTGATACTGGCTAAATAATCGTCATTACACAATCAAGTCAAAACAAAGATAAAAGTGAGAGATTTTCTCCCAGTTTCTATGGTGATCAAAACTCCAACCTGTAGCAGACATTATCAGAAATCTATTCTGAGGTATCTTATTTTTAAATCTATTGAGCTTTGTATGAGAAAGATATTGCCTCAGCTTTATGAAGACCAGCCACACTCACCTTTTGTGTGTGCTTCTAATAAACTGTCCTACACAACTCAAGAGCAGAATTTAATACTGTTTTGGACAAATGAGTCACTGATGTGTGCTGACAACAGGTGGGTGGGCTGCAGGTGTGTAAAGCCCTGTTCACACATGGGATATGTAACATTAATGGCTTCATTGGTTTCTTACAAACTCTTACATTAACGTTCCTCTGGCCTACATCTTTACTACTATATGGTGAACCAACACAAGTGGGTTCCAGGAAGCTCACTATATGTAATGTCAGTTCGCTGTGTCCACGCCTTTCAGTTAATGTTACAAGAACATCATTTGTTTTTCCTACAACATCCACTGTTTGTTTCTGCTTGAGGCAACTAAGCATGATAGAATTTAGGTCTTAGTTAAATGTTGAAAAGACCAAGAATGACCTGAAGCATAATACACAAAGAATTTCCCTTATTTACCTTTAAAGAAAAACCTTCCTCTAATGTTATTCAAAGCGTTTGTTGTCTAAACCAAACCACATGTGGATGGATGAGAGCCCTGGTGTCCAGTGTGTTGTACATTCAACATCCACTCTGATGTTCTCATGATTTAAGTGTGGTACAAAATGCAACACTTGTCTATAGCCTTGACATGAACAACCACTGGCAACAAACATGAACCTTGCATAAGTTAACTTTCCAACAAATGCTAACAGAGAACCCAAATGGAAGTAAATAAAAAGAACCTCAGGACAAAAGATTGCAAAATAAGACTTTTTTGATGAATACTGGAATATGAACCTCAAAACTATATAAACATATATATAAAAAGCTGATTCTACAATCTTAATGGATTTATTATTGTAACCATGAGGACAAAGCTCCAGTAGCCTATGCTTGCTAATGGAATGTCTTTGTTGCAGCCACATATTAGAGACCTGCCCGTTACTTAATAGCAGCACTTATCAAAATTGCCTGAAATATGAGCGTTGACTTGGTACCATTACAGCGCAAGCTGCTTGCATGCATTTTGTTTTTCTTTTAACCTTAACCTCTGGAAAACATTTAAATGCATCATGGAGTTATATTGTTTCTAAATGTTGAGAGGGCATCAGTAAATTAATGGAAGGTGAGAAAAATGAAATACTGGAACTACTTTATAAGTTCACAAGCTTATACTGAACTGTAGAGCCTTGGATTATGAATGAAAACTGGATTATCTGAAAGAGTCTACTGCAGCATCATCATAATGTATAAAATGTTTTTCTTAAGCTCTCTGTGCATTGATTTTTAGGTTCTGAGTCAGCAGTTGAACAGTTAAGTGATTTTGTACAAAGGTGGACTGAGGACCACTGAAGCTTACCTGGAGGTGCTTAACAATGCTGTATTTTTGTTTATTTGTGATATCGCCTGCACAGACAAGGCAAGCATGCAAAGCCAGATAGGAGGTTTGCTTTCTTTGCAGAATTTCCTGGAAGCCAAAGTTCAGGAAAGGACAGTCCTTTGAGTGGATGTGTACTTAGGCCAACGACTATAGCTGCACCACTGTTCAAATAAACTGGCAGCAACTGACATCCAGGTACTTTGTTTTCTGCACTGACAGAAGCTCTTTGCTCAATTTATGGATGTAATGGCCACATGAATGCACAGGCAACACTGTAAAACACTGCTTCTCAAAAGTAATTGTCACCAAATGGCACAATCAACCTGACACAGGTGCAATATATGGTAATTATGCTTATAAAAAAGTTTAATTTGTACCAAGCTTATTTTAGGTATTGATTTGCTCTTCTTTTCTGGTGACTTCAGATTCTCAGCCACTCAACCTGAGCTGGGTAATTATGGGACATGATGAATGTTGATACCTTTTCTAAAAATTGCCTTAATATTCAAAGCCATGACTGAAAACACTTATTTGGAACCCTGGTTGTTGGATCTTCTCTCCCAAGACCTGGCTGTAGCTCACCGGCATTAGCTATTAATGACTTCAATTATCCCTTTGAACTCTGAGCGGGTATTTATCATTCTGTTTTCAAAATGGGAGCACATCACTTGCCTCATAACTGTTATAGTACCATTGTGCTATTATGAACATGGCATTTGCCATGGTGGCTGTTTTCCGGGGAAGGACATAGTGCAACTACTTTGGTTAAAAGCATTTACTGTAGCAACCACAAACAGGAAGGCGAGTGTAATCTCAGCCTGACATTACTGCAGAAACACCAGCAATCAGTGATCCGGGGCTAATCTCTGGCTCAGGTAAAAGAGATTGTAGAAAGTTCTCCTGACATTATGCTCAATTCTCTCTGGTTAAAGGTCAGCACTGGGAGCTCTGAGATAACCACAGCAGTGCTCTGGGGAAGAAAGTGTGTTTGTGAATTAGAGGAAAAAGAGTCTCACGGTGATGTTAAATACAGACTAGGGCCTTATTGTTGTCATTTCCTTTGCAGAACACAGACTGACCCTAAATCCTGAAAATGCCTGATGCTCCAGGCTGGAAGGTTTGGCCAACACAACATAGAGAGAGTGCCGTCCTTACAGATTCTCAAAATCATGCTGATAGTGAGATACCCTCACTGTTGTACAATGCAGGTCTTCATCTTCTCTGCAGAATTAAGTAACAGCCTTAAGTCATTAAGAGTAGATGCTATTAGAACAACTTCAAATCAGAAAAAGTTGGGACGGTATGTAAAATCATAATTAAAACTGAAAATAGTGATGTGTAAATCATTTGTGTCCTGTATGACATTTAAAACAATGTAGCAGCACATTATTTGATGTGAAACCTCATCAACTTTATCTTTTGTTCAAAATAAACACGTCAATTCTGATATATGCAACATGTTTCAGAAACAGTGGGGCCAGCTGCATTTCAGGGCCATGTTGTGTCCATCCTTTGGATACTTTTCAGTTTCACAGTTTCTATTGGAGACAAAGGCTGATAGAGTTGCCTCTAACATGTTCAAAGAGAAACATATTTATCGGAAAGAATGTCAAGTGCTTCAGTTAATTTTTCCAGTGCACAGGATATGACATAACTGTCTCATGCACTGAAATCACTCTGGTACTCTGTGCTAATGGCTTAGAGTAAATAGCAACCATGTTTGTATGATGACAGAAAGAGAGGCACAGAGGTCACAGATGTTATCACTGATGGATTTAATCTAAACTGGGACAGGATATAGATCCCTGTTTTCCCTCTCTTGATAAAGTGCCCCTGATGAACCTCAGGCTTGAGGCAGGATCATCACATAGGTGTCCAGTTTCTCAGTGCTCATTCCAAAAGCCTGCAACAGGAAATTAAATTGCATTTCCCACAGCACCATTAATTGTCTGTGTTAACTTGTTTATTTGCAGCCTTTTCCAGAGAACCTAACGGATGTGCAGAGGAGAGCCACAGACACTGTTTTCTCTTGAGTTACGATGGATTTGTCTCTTATAGAATTATGGCCTGAACACTGAGGGGGCAACAAACTGAAGGTAAATGATGATGTACA